CGCCAGACTAGAAACTGTGGTTAACTACTTGATGAAAGTTGTCAATATGAACTTCAGATCTCCGTTAATCCAAGCTACTTTCTTACCAAATTTTACATATAGATAGTCACACATGTGAGCCTACAAATGAGGGGCTGCATGAACACAAAGATCACAAAATGACCGAGATAGGACTTTCACAATCTGATGATATTGTTGACCTGATAACTATAATCTATATCAACCGATTAAGGTCGGGTTGATGCTTGCGATCAGGGTTTATTAAGATCAATCTATATCCAGAATATCAGCCCCATATCTTAAGAAATAAGATCAGTTTATGGGGGGGCGGTTACTTTTGTCCAGGACTGTATATATATATATGTATTTGCTTGTTGCTGATGATGCTAAAATGGAATGCAGTACTAGTGTCAAACATCATAACTGGACAGATATAGGAATAATTTTTCCATCATGACAATACATGTTTACCTTTTTTGATAGTTCATTTTCGTCTCTATGTATTCAGTTACTTTGTCATATGCTTTCTCATCATCTCTAAATGAATTTTCATAAAAAACCAATTCTCGTAGTAAAACAATATCGCGTTTCCACTTCTGTGATCTGTTCTCAAATACAATAAATTGCTCAAAACATGATTGAACTAGTGTTCATTCCTACACTTTTATATAAATAGCAACTTGAAAAAGTAAAAATATTTTGAAACGACGAGATATCATATATTGCAAGATATGATCTCTAATCCAGACCTGAACTGATAATTTTTTTCATATCTAGTACCCAACCCGGTTGCAGAACACTAGTCAAGGCGTTCAGAAATGTTTAACTCTACTCCCATTTACCTGCATGTCGCTTATGAATGGTCTCATAGATAGTTTTGAACTTTTTCTATATTTCTCGAATTCTAGACATTCTAGAGAAAAAGAAGTATCATCTATACAACTTCATTCAGGAAGACAGTAGCAAGTAAAAGTGAGTATGTCTATGTGACATTTTCAAAAGCTCAAATTCTTCTGTATGATTCTCCATTTCACTTTTTTTCGTTCGTTTGTTGTTATTATCATACATTATTGCTTTCAATTTAATGACAATTGGATCTCAATTCTAGTCATATATATTCGTTTGTTTTTTATTTCATGTCTATATATAAATATATATATAAACGAAAAAGAAAACGCAACACACAAATATAAGAAGAATAATCGATCATGTGCACAACAATGGAAAACAGCAGAAGAAAAAAAAATCTTAGGAATGTTTCACTATTATTTAAATGAAAAACACAAAATATTTCCAAAATTATGATGTTGATGTTCGATTGCTATATGCAGCATAAGCACGTTGTGCTGCACTTGCTGTTGATGATGAAACCGTCGGAGGTGCTGATATAGTCACTGTCGATTGTTGATTAGTATTATTCTAAAAAATGAATAAAATTTTTATGAAAATAAATAAATAAATAACTATTGAAATAAACTTAGTTTCCTTGCAAACACAATGATTTATCAATAATAACAAAAAAAAAGAGACCTATGATCGATTTAATCAATTGATATACTTTGATTAATCTTTCCTTTTTTCCTTTCTTTTTTTTCTTCTTAAGAATTATAAGTCACTTGAGTTGATACCTGACAATTGAATTGATACGACGAAGATGTATAGTTGACCATTGGATAGATGCAAGCATGTGTATGTATTACATATTGGTCTGCAAATGGCACTAATAAAATGAGGAGGATAGACGCAAGGTTATTCTCAACTTTCTTAACTTGTTTATTTTTCGCATTTGATTAAGGAAGAAAAAAAAGAATTAAGAAGATTTGAGATTTTTATTTTCTGTATTTCGACTTAGAGAAAATTGAGTTTAAGAATTCGATCAAAATTTGTTTTTGTTTTTTTGTTTTCCAAATCCCAATAAGAAATTGTAGCTTATCTTAACTGAGAAACTTACAACAATAGCCAATAATCGCGTATACCATCATCGATTGTTGTTTACACATACGACACAAATAAGGCGTTTAAAGTTAAGACTTCATACATATATATGTGTGTGTGTGTCTGTGATCAAGTCACTCCATGCTAGAAACAAGAAGTAGGACGCAACACTAACACATAACTAGAGTTTATTTTTGTTAATTTTTTTTAAACAAAAGATAAAATTCTACAAGCAATATTCAATGTAAATTTTTCCTTTCTGGATATTCATTATCAATACAGATAAATTATTTCAAAATGTATATTCTATACGCTTTTATTAGATATTATTTCTTACTTACAGGTGCTCCATTGTAAGTAGTAGTCGTTGGAATTTGTGATTGAGAAATAGCTGCCGATGCGGCTAATGATGCAGCTACTTGCATTTGTGCATACCTGAAAGATAAACAAAATAGTTAGTTTTGAGAATATCGCTCGACTATCATAGAATGAAATACAAGGACAGAACAGTCTATTTAGAATTTTCTGATAGATCCTGCAATATTTAGGGTTGATCAAAAGTTATAATAATTTTTGCTAACATATCAATATATATGTATTAGCGCCAAATCTCATGAGGAAAGTCGTTCAACTAGTCAAGCGCTTTTCAGTCAAGACTATAAGATCATCAAATTTGTTAGTTTATGTCTCATGTAAAAGACATTCGCGTTGAGATTTGTTTCTATGAAAAGTTTCAAATCAAAATTCGAAAATCAGTTTTATTGTAATTGCGACTCTTTTTAAAAAAATACGGTAACGATACAGTTTCTTCGTAGCAATAAACTATGGATGCGGACTCTTTTCAGTGTATTCACAGCTCATTTCCATTTACATAATGCACATAGTCTCGACTCAAAAGTGATTGAAGAGTTGGAGGACTTCGTTCGTTAGATCTGTCTGAGCCAATCTAGGGTTTCACATTTAGCGGACAATAATTGAGATCATTCTTGGATTGATCATTTTAAAATAGGTTCAATCTTAGATTCGCCTTAAAATTTGAGACGAATCTTAGATTGAACCCTAACATATATATATATATAATATAAATCTATTTTACGTTTAGTTCTCATATTTTTTAGATATATGAGTGTTAAACTGATGCAGCAGATTATTAACAATGATTCACATTCAACTAATGATCATAGTAGAGTTGAGACCGGCTTTCTTAAAGTATAATAGAACAAATTATACATAATTGCCTAAACATGAGAAAAGCTATACCACATTAGAGAGTTCGTCAAAGTAGTTGTCAACCGAAAATTTTATGTCAAGCAATAAATGATCCGATTCTTATACATAATATAGAAAAAGGCAAGACTATACAACTATTATATCCGAAATAGTCTAAAATCTTTTTTGCCAATGAAATATCGAAATGAACAGAGATAATTGGTACAAAAAGTACAAGATTGCTTGACGATCCCTACTGACATCATACTTATCCAATATGTTATCAATTATTCAATAGAAGAATGCATCAATATAAGGTCACGTTTCCTACATTCAATACTATCATTTTTGATTAAGCAATTATATCAAACATAATTTGCTTAATTAAATATATCAAATATGATTTTTTTATGTGATTTTCAAGGTCGATAAAAAAAACTTTCAACTATAAAACTAGCTTAAGAAAATCAATTCTATTTAGATTAAGTTCAACAAGTACTGCAACTTTTTAAAAAATACAGATTATTTGTTCTTTTCATAGAGACAAACAGAAAAGAACACTGGTAATTATTCTCATTATGACTTCTCCGTCTCAATCAAATAAACACAGTCGTTTTATAATAGTTTTTTCACCGTTCGGTAGATGCAGTATTACGATCACATTCACTGTATTCTAAACGGTTGCCTATTCAATTTTGAAATCAGTATCCACTATATGCAGCACGATAAAATAGGTTTATTTAATACTGGACCCTATGAAATATCAACAGACAACTATTTACGTCCGAAAATCATTTCAAACGACAGTATGTCGTATCGTTGTTGACTTTTTCTACGACTGTAATCATTATCTTGCATAATCAAATAGAGATTGTTTTATTTTATCTATTTTGAGACATATTTCTTTATCCTTCTTTTACTTAATCTCTAAAAAAATACAATTAGGAAGTAGTTAATATATTGTAACGAGCAATTATTGATATACAGTCTGTGGGAGATGTAGATTTCTACTAAGCACTTCTTTTAGATCGTATTTCATTCAATAAAAACTATACCATTGATGATATGCAGCAATTTGTGATACATCATAACCAGCATTCATCCTAATATGAAAAAACATAATTAATTTTAAAATAATATTAAATTATTAACCATTGTTGCATCCATGCTTGTTGAGCATCAGTAACTGTTTTAGATAAATCATTGGTTGTTTGTGGTTTTAAATTTGTTTGTTGTTGTTGATTCCAAACATTTTGTGTTGAAGCTGTTAGAGCAGCTGCTTGTTGCATTATTTGAAGTTGTTGTTGTTTAGCTTGTAATTTTTGTTGAAATGCCTTATTAATAAAATAAAGATAATAATATAAACAAAATCATGAAGAAAAAAAAAATATTCAATATTAAACATACAATTAAATACTGTTGTTGTTCTGGTGTTATTTGTGCACCTGATTGTTGTGCAAGCATAGCTTGTTGTAATGCAGTTGTATATTGATTATATTCTATGTGATATTCACTACTTGCTTTAGCATAAATAATAGCTGGATTCGTTTCGGAATCTGATGTTTGTGGAGGTTTCCATTGAGTATTATCATTAGGTAAAGATGCTTGTTTTTGAGATAATTCAGGGTTATTATTTTGATTTTGATTTTGATTTTCATTATCGGGATTTGCCCAATCACCATTATTCCTTTCAAAATAGAGATAAATGAAAAATCTCATTTTTTTTTTTAGATAAAAAAAAAAAAACAATAAGAAAATTTACCAATTATTATCATTCTGATTATCATTCCATGATAAACGTTCCATCATTTGATAACGTTGTTTATAGTCTTGAAAATTTTTCATTCGAGTATTTACATCAAGTTCATTAGGTGTTCCATTCGAATTTAAAAGTGGAAATGGTGGTGGACGTAAGTGGCTAGGATCAAATGAACTTAAATCTATAGTCATTAAATTCGGTGGTAAATCTTCAATATTATTTATCCAATTTTCTGGACCATCACCATCAAAATTGTCATAATTATTAAAAACCGGATATTCAGGTACTAGACAACAACATAAAATTCAATATATAAGATGAACCAAAATTCACTTTACTGTACAAAAAAAATTTTGAATATATTCGCTATGGCTTTACCAAATGAGCTGAGTGTTATTTTTACTAATGAGAAGAAATTTTGAAATTTATATAAGATAGGCTAGAAAGTACCGTTTTGAAGGGTCAGCATTGGCTTATACTAAAAAATTCTATCTTCTCATAGGCAATAGAAAAACAATCATCGACTTTTTATTGATCTTTTTGCAACCTCAAAATGGGCCTATTTCGCTCGTTTTTAGTGATTTCGAAGATTTTTCGACAAGCAAGGTTTCAGAGATGGACAAAATCGCACCGCGCTTCCCCGCGCCGCTGCTCACGCCTACGCTACACTAGTCTGAGCTTCGATGAGCGCATGCTTAGAGCATCCTGGTATTCGGTGGAGTTTGAGAAACTGATTGGTAGAGCAAAGAGAAAGAGAGATGTGCGTAGCGTCTAGGCGCGAGCAACGGCGCGGGAAGCGCGGGGAGGCGCGGTGCGATTTTGTCCATCTCTGCAAGGTTTCCAAGTAAAAAATTTCTTGTCTTCGTGAAAATTCCAGCTCTATACATCAACTTAACACTTTCTCATCTTTCGAAGTCACTTTTATGGACTATTCCTAATTGACTCTCATACGATCCGATTAGCTAGCAATTTTCAATTCATACTTTTATTTAAAAAGTCAGGCAGAACACAAAATAGATTTTAGTGACAGTGAGTTACTAGATGAAACTTTTAGAAAGAAGTCTCCATTCTTTCTTAATGATATCATATACGCAACAGAGATAGTCAAAATCGTCCCGTGCCATTGTTCACGTCCAGGTGCGTCGCACATTTTTGTCTCTTTTTGCTGTATTTTATGTTCTTGCAGAGCCCCCCTGAACATCAGGATCATGTAAGCATGCGCTTCATAAAGCTCTGAGAGATGTAGTATAGACGTAAGCATAAGCGTGGAACGAGTTTGACGATCTCTAATATCTACTAACTTCGGCGAGGAAAAAGATCCAAGATTTTTTCTCAGTTTAATATGAGAATTTATTCTTTCACACGAATATGAACTCTTCTTCATCATAGATTTAAAAAAAATCAGCCCATTTGATAAAACTAAAGCAGAAATATTCAAATTTCTTTGTTGTTCGATAAAATAACTTTTGGCGTAGTTTTTCATTGATTCGACTTACTTCCTACATTAGCTACCCATTTATTAAAACCATGTTTTCGTCCAAGTTGAAGTATTATCGGATGTACCATAGCACCAGCATCATCCAAAATATGAACAAGTGCTGGTGCATATTTAGCATCTTCATTTGAAAAAAATGTAAATGCTATACTACATGAAGCTATTCGTGTAATTCTATGTTTATAAACAGCATCTGATGTTGGATAATCATAATTAATTACAAATCGTACATCATCAACATCTATTAAAATTGAATAAGATTATAAAATGATTTATTTTTTTGATGATTATACAGAAAGAAAAAGAAAAATAAATTTACCGAAACTTCTTGAAGCAACATCTGTTGCAAGTAAAAGTACATTTGCATTTTCACGAAATTCTATAAAATGAGATACAAAAAAAAAACAAAAACTTTGTTTGTTTTTTTTCTTAAAACAATTTTTGATATAAACCTTTAAGAATTTCATTTCTCGTTTGTTGATTTATTGAACCATGTAAAAGTAAAGCTTTATATCCATTTTGTTCAAGATCTATATTTAAACGATTAACTTTATCACGTGTACGAACAAATATAATAGTTTTTCTTAAAGGTGCATAAGCACAAACATCATCAAGAACTCGAAAAAGATTTTGTTTTTTGTATTGTTCCGTTGGACAAAAATCAACTATTTGTTGACAATTTAAATATACAGAAGAATTAGGTTCAGATAAATAACCAACACTAGCATGAACATAATTTGTTAAATAATTATCAGCTAAAGATTTTATGAATTTTTGTGATGTAGCTGAAAATATTGACATTTGAACTTGTTGTTGTTTTTCATCGCTACTAGAATAAATTCATTTCATTTAAAGATTAAACAACATTTACTGTCCTAGACAAAAAGTAACTTCTCCGTATGAAGTGATACTATTCTTTAGGATATTTTAATGAATGCTTACGACAAAAAGTACTTGATCGCAAGCTTTAACCAGCCGTTGATTGGTTCACAGTCCTTTTTTTTTCTCTTGTAAAGAATGTATTCAGTAGAAATATGCACTGAACAAGCTACCTCGATTTTGTTTCTAGCGCTAAAGGGGTAGTACGGCTGGTTTCCGGTCGGAACGAACGTCTTTCTGGTAGAAATCTGCTAGGAGTTCACGAATCCGGGCACTGAAATCATTGATCTGAGACCGTATCTATTGTATTATCATAAAAACTCTTGACAAACAGTCAATATCACAGTAATTCACAAGATCTGAAATTAAAATATAAATATCTCGTCAATGAAGAGTTTGTTTTGGCTTAAACTTTAGTGTTTCTAGTAATTATTAGATCTCTCTGTGAACAAGACTTCAGCTTAAAATTCAATCCGTTAGAATCTCAGCAATCCTATGCTCATAGGACACAACATCCATTATTTGACAAATGAAAAACTAAACTAAAATAGATTTATTTTACTCCTTATCATGATTGATCAACCAGCAATAGTTTCAACCGAAAAAAAGGGTTGAAAATATTCCCTCGTCAGTAACTCTATCGCAAAAAAAGATTCATTACTTGAACTTAACACACACGGATTTCTCATTCATTACAACTATACTGATAAATGAATAATCAAAACGAAAATGATGAATCTATCTCAATGTTATTCGAATTTCAAAATATTCTTCTTTAAATTTAAATATTCATTGTTTATTACTTACTTAATCGATTTAAAATTATCAAGAAATTTTCTAATTTGTGTTTCAAAACCTAAATCAATCATTTTATCAGTATCATCAAGTACAATAAATGTAACATGATGAAGATTTATTAATTGTTGTTCTAAAATATCATTTAATCGATTTGGTAAACATATATAAACATTTTTTTCATCACGAATTTCATTTATTTGTTTTTCATGTTCATCTCCATTTATAATACAAATTGATTTAATTCCAAATAAATTAAAATACGGCTGAGCAATAGTATATATATATTGTACTGATTCACGAGTGGATGTTAAAATAATAGCTATAGAATTATCATTCAATTGTTTGCGAATATGAAAGATAAGAGGAAGAATAAACTAAATTTTAATATTAATAAATTTTTTTTTTTTCTTTTTTTTTTACAACTTACGGCAAGTGTTTTTCCACTTCCCGAATTTGCTATGCCGACAAGATCTCGATTTTGACTAAGAATAGGCCAAGCTATAGACTGAATAGGAGTTGGTATATCAAATTCATTTTCTTCAAATTGTTTTAAAATTTTTTCTATAAATAAGAAGTAAATATTTGTAAACGAAAACAAAAAAAAAAGACTTTTTTTCTTAAATTTTATTACCCGGAAAATTAGTGTCACTAAATTGTAACCATGGACGTATACCGACTGCATTGTCAACTTTAACATGAAATTCTCCACAAAATGACTGTACATCAGCAAGACTCGGTACTGTTCTCTGTTCAAAATTATCTTTTAATTCTTCTTTTTCATCGTTTAGAGGATTTTGTTTATTTAATTCTGTTGATATTTCGTTGATCATTATTACAATGAAAACAATTGTAAAAATAAAATAGTGGCTTTTGTATTTTGCCTTCTAAATTGTTTTCATTATGCCATGAGAGATAGATAAACGCCTTTTTATTTTATTGGACACAAAAAACTAACGAATCAATAGCAATAGAACATTTGACGATTGAGGGCACAAGTAATCAATCGATTTATTCAGAAATATTTATGGACCTGTATAATTGTTACATTATATAACAATTATTGTCAGTTTCTACAATAAAAAAAAAAGACTTCAATGCCATGATTTACATATAATTAGGTCTTTCAGTTGAAACTATTTTAATAACAATAACATACAATTCAAGTGTTGTGATAGACAAAATAAAATCGAAACCCTAAATGTGAAAATAAAAAGAATAGTGTCATTTCAATTTTCCTAAAGTATTTTTTTTAATGTAGATGTTGATTCTTATCAGTTACAATATCTGAATAATATTTAATTTAAATAATGTGACTTTATTCCTCATAGACGGCGACAGGTTTCAATGTTCTTATTTAAAAAAAATGGGACAAACATATGGCATCGTATTTCTGTGTTCAACATCAAGAGAAAATACGGATAATTATATATCTATCAATTTGGAAGATATTCACATTTCATGAAAATCTACATGATGTGCATAGTTCGCCGATTCAAAAGCAATCTGACACTTGTAAATTTCTTTCTTTAGCAGAAATAGAGTTATCGAAGATGTATGCTGGAATGATAATTGTTTTTCTCTTTCCTGCAGTACATGTATATGCGCCAAAGCATAAAGAGTATATATATATATATAGTCGAGGTCGATTAGTATAAAATCAAACAGATACTAGACTGTTTCTTTCAAGTGAAAGCAGTCGCCTGTACGATCTCTGAATATGTTTGTATTTTTTCTTATTCAAACAGATTTTAAAATTAACTCTTTGTTCGTATGCTTTTGGCGCAATACTAATGTTAATTATATTCTATTTTATCTATGGATTATTGTTATCTTTTTTTTTCTTTTATTAAATCTATATAAGATATGTCAATTTTTTTCCTACACGTTTGATACTTTGTTGTAAGTAAATTTAAGACACGAAAAATTCAATATTTCGCTTTAAGATTGAATCATGAATCACTATATAAAGGAAACTATCATCTGTTAATTATTATTTTCTGCATATGTATATGACATGATCTCGACCAATTTTTTTCTAATTTGAAATAATACTCAAGTACTGTGAACAAGTGGCTAACTTGAATCGTGAATAATATGTCGAGTAAGAAGAAGAATTCACTGTGAGATCTAAACGACTGAAAAGTAAGAATACAACTGCAGTACTTTGTGCAGTCAGCCGACGTAATAAAAAGAAAACATGATGTATGTGAAGTATAATGAAGCAATTATTAGATTATACACTTAATAGACTTCTTAACAAATATATACTAGAAGTTGTAAGGGGAATATTGTATAAAGTTCTTTTTCGAATTCTTAGACATAAGATAATGATTGAAGAGAGATGCACAGTTTTATTTTTTAGTAAAGCATATTGTTAACGTTCGCGCTCACAAAGAGCGACGAACACAGTTAACGTGTGTGTGTGTGTTTTATTCTCTCTGTTTATTCTTTTACAAAACAAGAGTTTATATACGCACATGAAAAACATGGACAAAATAGAAAAGAAGACAAAGGTTAATCAAGGGCAAAGAAAAGAAGTTAAAGAAAGGAAAAGACAGAAACGAAAATATCAAAGAGAAGAGAATAGAGAGGANGAAATTGTTTATATCCTAATCTTTATTTGGCTTTTTCAGAGGAGTTTCTATTAGAGAAAAAAATCGAAATTACACCTGTATGAATAATTTTTGGAGCCACTGTATATGATCTAATATGACCGTCACATATCATAACAAATAACTCTTATCGAAATTTTATTATTATTATATTGATTGAAAAATGATCAGATATTATAGAAATAGAGAACATTATTTTTACTATCAAGTCATATAGAGGAAACTACTGTTGATATGTCTTGAGTAGTTTATTATATGAAATATATATTAAATTTACTTTTTCTTTTTGCGTTTATCAGATACAATAGTACTATAAATGATAACAAAAAAAAACAAAATATTTAAATTCAATTAAATAACAATATGTATTTATATTACTTAGCATCTAATTCAATATGTTCTTCATCTTTCATAGCATTTTCAATAGCTGCTTGAATCATTGGTGAAACCATTGGACCTTCATAATCACGAGTTGTTCGACTTGGAAAATCAAGTTGAAGTAAAATGATATTTTCATTCTAAAATTATTTATTTATTTAGTTTTAAATAATAATGAATCATCGATCTACAGTCAGCGACACAAGTTAAAACTGACCTGATTCAAATGATGATATAGACAGTATGAGAGGTCGGTTACATGATAGGAGAAGACTTTCACGATCTCTATATTTTTTTGTCAGAAAACAAAATACATTTAAGCGCTTTGAGTATTTCGTATGTCCTAACCAAGAGACTTGAATTAAAATCAAAAGCAAAGTAGGTCAATCAATAGAGAATTTTATGTTCTGTCAGTTTCTAAAAAAAATTGTTTTGTTCGAAAAAAGTCGATCTTTATCTACAAATCCCTCCTCGGATTGTTAGGACTACAAAAAAACAAATTCGCTTTAACTTATATCGTTGACCATATTTTAAAGCAATGTTAAATACTTTGAAACGAGCTATTTCTGGAATACTATTTGTTTGAGAATATAAAGATGCTGAATGACGATCACCATTAGCCGATAATGGTCGTGCAGCCATTTGATCTCTTTTAGATTATTGATAGAAAAGAAAAAATTTTCATATAAAATAAATTTACAATTATTTATCATACGTTTGTTTTGATAATTCTTTAAGTGTCCAATAATTTTGTTGTTCATCAAATTGTATACGTTTTAATAAACGTTCACGTTCATCAACAGGAATAAAATTTTCAATAACAAGTTGAAATAATTTAGCTTGTTTTTGCATTTCACGTTGTTCAGCTTCAAGTTCTTCACGTGCTGATCGATGTTTTTCAATAATATCTTGTTTTTTTGCTTCAAGTTTTTTCAATGATTTAGATAATTTATCACGTTTAGTACGTTTATCTTCAACTTCTTCTTTAATACTTGTATAAGTTTCATTCATTGTTCGTCGATCTTCTTCACGTTGTTCTAATTGTTGTTGAACTTCACGATTACGACGTTCAGCTTCAGCAATTAAACGTCTAAATTAATTTAATTTTTTATTTGAAAAAAAAAAAAAAATAAAACAAATTAATCAACCGTTTTTGTCGTAAAGCTTGTTCTTGTTCACTTGTATGTGTTATAATATCTTTACCACCAGTAATTAATTTTGATTGCATTTCTAGAATTTTATGTTGCATTTTACGACGTTCTTCTTGTTCACGTTCAATTTCTTTTTTTTGTTCTTCAAGTTGTTTAAGCATTGCTTCACGTTCATTTTCTATACGAAAAAACAAAACAAACAAATATAATTAGCATTTGTCGAAAAAATATATATTGAAAAATTTCAATACAAACCATTGATATTTTTTTTATGCATAATTGTACGTTTCTCTTCATTTAATTTATCTTGTTGTTCTTTAAGAAATAATTCTTCATCATCTTGTTCACTTGTATCATCATCCATTTCAGTACCATCACGATTTCTATTTCGATGTGATTTTCGACCATCTTTACCTTTACCTTCAAGTTGTCCTTTTAATCGAGCAATTTCTTCTTGAAATTTTCGTAATAGTGCATCTTTTGGATCTTCATTTATACGTGGTTGATTCTTTATATTTTTAGCTCGATTTGCATAACTAATAATAAATAGAATTAGAAAAATTTTGAAAATAATTATTAGAGATGAAACTATTGACTTAAGAACATCTGAATCAATTATTTCTAATCAACTGAAGTGAACAAATTCATACATTCAGAAAATAGATGTAACCAGATTTTCATCAATAGTAAAATTTTATTCAATGGTTCTCTTAAGGAGACTATTTAATAAGAATTTGGGTCTTATAAATTATGAGACTTTTAGAAGTAGATTTCATATCATCTTAAAGCCTATGTACTGTGAATTTTAAATCAACATTCTGAAAATAATTTTTAGAGTGTGTACATGATTGTGTTCGATGGATAGGCAAGCATTATATTCAGTCACACTCCAATCCACCCTTTCATTTTTTCTTCAGATGAACTATTTTTTCATTTCCTTGAAATTCCAAAAACTTTTTGTTGCAGATTTAGCGTGAAAAAAAAACCGGATCTAGAAAACTTATTTAAGACGCGCCTTTATCATAGTTGTATCTAAAAATAGAAGCAATCACAAGATTTAAAATATTTACAAGACACTATTCTCGTAAATAATTTTATCTGTACAAAGTTTCAAGTCGAAATTCAAAAGTAAGCTTTTTTTGTGTACTCAAAAAGTGAGTACACTACTAAAATCGGTCAGTGTGTCCGGCCGTCCGTCCGTTTATTCGATAACTCTTCACAATTACATTCGATTGAGCTGAAATTTTGTGCACAGAATTGTNTTATAGAAAAAAATGATTTCTTTGAATTTGCATGTTAAAGAAAATATTGACTATAAACTAATCCACTTCATGATCGAAATGCGAAGACATCGTATTTTGTTGAACCACTTACTGAGTTCTGTCATAATTCTGCATACTATTGACAAATATTTCAAGCAACGACGAATTTTGACTATTAACATAAACTACATCGTTTTTTTCTCCGGTCATTAGTATAGAATGTACAGTATGTAATTTGCCTATAACAAGTATCAGTTTCATCAAATTTTCTAATTCATACAAATTGTTCGAACTGTTCAAGAACTATTCAAGTTTTTTTTTATGCCGAAGAACTTGTAAAACACTCTGTATTTTGGAAAATGATTCAAATTTTAGTTTCGACATAATCAATGGGAAGCTATTAATGCTGCTCTTCAACATCATGATTGTTTTATACTTATGCCAACAGGTAAGAATGATTTTACTTTGATATAACAAAAAATAAAGAATGTTTTTTTTTCAAGGTGGTGGTAAATCCTTATGTTATCAATTACCAGCTGTTATTGATACTGGTGTTACATTTGTTATTGCACCTTTACGTTCACTTATATTTGATCAAAAACAACGATTAAATTCATTAAATATTTCATGTGCAGCTTTAACAGGAAATATATCACAAGAAGAAGCTGATGAAATCTATCGTGAATTATATAAAGATTTACCTGCATATAAAATTGTTTTTATCACACCGGAAAAAATTTCTATGAGTGTAAAATCATTTTCTATGTAGAAAAAATAATTAATTTGTTTTTTTGCTATTCATAGGATCAATTAAATAATGTTCTTCGAGATTTATATAATCGTCAACTTTTAGCACGATTTGTTATTGATGAATGTCATTGTGTTTCGGAATGGGGTATGTTATCAGGATATTGATGTATAAAAGCAATTGGTATCCAAAACTATATATATCTATGAATAATCGATTTTATGAAACATGATCTAAAAGGAGTGTTGAAGTATCACGGGAGTAAAAATTTGAACTTTCTCGTAAAGATCGTGATAGACATTGACATACCATCACCGACTGTATATCAATAATGTCTCGTTATAATATATGAATTACTTCGTTTTTTGCAATAAACTGGCTTCACTATGATTAGCAACAGTAACTATCGGGTGGTCCAGAAGAAATGGGTAGTTTTGTATTTTTAAATTTTCTACATACAGGCCCAACCAATTTTGCTATACTTATTACCGAAATATGCGCTGCGAAAATCTCTACAAGATTATATAAAGATGTTTGATATCAACTGTAAGTATAAAAAATTTGACAAAAGAATATTGTGAGGGTCCAACATGTTCAACTTTCTTAAGTTTTATTTTCAAACAATTAAGATAGTTTTATTTTATACGTTAGCATTTTGAGGCATTGATAAGAATTAACTGGCCATCCTGTAGCGCGCGAAAAGCTCTATCTATCAGCTATAATCAAGAAAAAAATTTTACGTCACCACGTACAGCGGGGAGTATATTTTCTCTTTCTTTAAATTTTGCACAAATACGGTTTTGGTTCCACAGTTTCGGGACATTCAGAAAAAATCCCGTATGTCGCTAATAAACCTATCTTTTGAGATTATTCTAATTCTATTTTGCAGAGAAATAAATGATGCACTGCATCCAAATGTTTACAATTGAATATGTTGCTTTTTTCCGAATGAAATAAGCAAAATAATCCAAATTTTGGCGGTTTCTGACCCAGCTTCACAAAATGATATGGCTGCCGAGTTATAATACTTGATTGAAAGGGGTGTAAATTCACACCAGGAGAAAGGAGACAATTAATTGTACAAAAGACAAGCTGGTTTGGCGATTCCTTCCATCTGTACAATCGTTAAAACGATCTGAGTTTTTCGAGAATGATACTTTAGAAAGTTGAACATGTTGGACCCTCACAATATTCTTTTGTCAAATTTTTTATACTTACAGTTGATATCAAACATCTTTATATAATCTTGTAGAGATTTTCGCAGCGCATATTTAGGTAATAAGTATAGCAAAATTGGTTGGGCCTGTATGTAGAAAATTTAAAAATACAAAACTACCCATTTCTTCTGGACCACCCGATAATTAACATTATTCTAATATTAAGCAAGGAAATCTTGACATACTTCCAATCATAAACAGCATCAAAATAAAAATTATGTACATCATCTCCACTACTGGTCATTCGTTGGGTATTTTCATTTTTCGGACGTCGAATCGATACTTGTCGACGTTGATTATCAATATCAACAACTCTAATATGATATAAATACGAATAAATTTATGTAAAATTAAACTTAAAAGAAAACCTTTCACAGCCACTGTCTTGTTCTTTATCACTCATAGGACGACATCGAACAACAACTCGAACTGATTCATCTTTTCCACCCTTACTCGATGCAGTTGATGGACGAGGCTAAATAAAATTCAATTTTATAAATAATAATAAATTAGGATTAAAATTTTCGTACCATTATTTATATGTTTTTTTTAAAGAGTACAATGAAAAATAAAGCTTAGTGCAATTTTCCTTCTTAACAACAGCATCTCATGTAACTAAGCAATTTTTATTGGTTTAACAATCAACCAATATCGACTCACATTAACAAATCTTATTTAAAAACAAAACAAAAAATCCAAAATTTTTCATAATTAAAATTGAAAATTAACTCTTGTGTTATTACTCATAATTAATCTTAATTTATAATTAGATAAATCTTTAAACTAAAAACCAATGAAAACAATTCTATGAGTCATTATTCAAGTCTGAGCTCTCCTTTTTTTCTTCCCCTTTCGTCACTTTCTGATGCATACAAATCATCAGGAAGATGATGCAACGACTAATTGCTTGTTATTTAAAAACTGATGAATCTAATTCTTTTTTTCATATCAATTTTTTATTCATTTTAGATGGCAACAAGTGGTTCTAATCAACCAAACAATGAAAATAATCAAGAAGCTATTGCTGGTGATGGCCCACCGAAAACAGCAAAACAATTAGCAAAAGAAGCTGAAAAGGCAGAAAAATTAAGAAAATTTGAAGAAAAACAAAGAGCCAAAACAAAAGCTGAAGAAGAGGTTTTATTTATTTGTTAAAAGAATAACATTGTTTTTTTTTTTTCTTTACATATTTTAGAAAAAAGCTAAAGAATCAAATGAAAGTAGTGCAAAGAAAAAAGTTATAACTCGTGACGTAACTGAATATGAATCACCGACAAATCCTGGCGAGAAAAAAGGTAATCAATATGAACAAAACAAAAAAACGATTTATAAAACTTCTTTCTTTAATATCTTAGATATTCATTGTGAATTACCTAAAACATATAGTCCAAAATATGTCGAAGCTGCTTGGTATATATGGTGGGAAAAAGAAGGTTTTTTTCGTCCTGAATATTACGATCAACATCCACCATCAAATGCTTCGACACCACGAAAATCATTTACTATGGTTATTCCACCACCAAATGTTACTGGTTATCTTCATTTAGGTCATGCTATTATGTGTACACTTGAAGATACACTTTCACGATGGCATCGTATGTGTGGTGATACTGTTCTTTGGGTTCCTGGATGTGATCATGCTGGTATAGCAACACAAGTTGTTGTTGAAAAAAAACTTATGCGGGAACAAAAATTATCAAGACATGATTTAGGACGAGAAAAATTTTTAGAAGAAGTTTGGAAATGGAAAAATGACAAAGGTTTGATGTTTTTTTTTGTTAAATTATATTGTGAAAGACTATGTACGAAGAGACAGTATTGAGATTTTCATTCGTATTTGTTCAGAGGAGTTACCAGTGAAAAATTAGTTTTAGCAACCTGACGAAGTAAGAATATGAAAATAAGAAATAATTTAGGTTCTTGTTAAGATTTGATTGAATGTTGACCATAGTCTTTTCAGGTCAAAACCCTGAAAATTATGCATTTTTTTTTATAATGTAAATATATAAATCAATGTTCCTATTTTATGAAAAACCAATTAATTCAGGGATCGAATCTTCTATTATGTCCGGTACGCATGATTCCTCTACGGATGAGCTCCAGGGAAAATTGTTGCTAACAGTAGTCTCACAGGAAATCTAAGGAAGGATATAGCTCCTGTTGGTGGTACTGCTAGTATGAATTTTGTTTTCTGTAAATAGGTGATCATATTTATGAACAAATCAAAGCATTAGGTTCATCATGTGATTGGTCACGTAAAGTATTTACTATGGATAAAGATATGTCGTATGCTGTCGAAGAAGCATTTATTCGTATGCATGAAAAAAAGAAAATTTATCGTTCAACACGATTAGTTAATTGGTCATGTACACTTAAATCGGCTATTTCTGATATTGAGGTAAAACAATATTAAATATTATTTTCTCATAAAAAAGAAAAATTTCAATAAATATTGTTTTTTTTTTTTTAGGTTGAAAAAACTGATTTAAAAGGTCGAACATTAATACGTGTTCCTGGTTATGAAGAACCAGTTGAATTTGGTGTTTTAACCTATTTTGCTTATCCAGTTGAAAATTCAAGTATTTTTCTATATAAAATATTTGAAAACTTATTCTTTTGTTTTTATAGAAGAAGAAATTATTGTTGCAACAACTCGTCTTGAAACAATGCTTGGTGATACAGCTGTTGTTGTTCATCCCGATGATGAACGTTATAAACATTTATATGGTAAATATGTTCAACATCCATTTCTTCCACGTCGTTTACCAATTCTCACTGATACAATGGTTGATCCATCATTTGGTTCTGGTGCAGTTAAAGTTACACCAGCACATGATCCAAATGATTTTGAATGTGGACGTCGTCTTTCATTACAATTTATAACATGTATTAATGATGATGGATTAATGTCATCAGAATGTGGTCCATATTCTGGTAAACCACGTTTTGATGTTCGACGTCAACTTTTAAATGATTTAAAAGAACGTGGTCTTTATCGTGATTCAAAAGAAAATGAAATGATTATACCAATATGTAGTCGAAGTAAAGATATTATTGAACCATTACTTAAACCACAATGGTATGTTAATTGTAAAACAATGGCACAACGTTCAGTTGATGCTGTACGATCAAAAGAATTAAAAATTTTACCAACTATGTTTGAATCTGTTTGGTATAGATGGTTAGAAGATATACGTGATTGGTGTATATCACGACAATTATGGTGGGGTCATCGAATACCATCATATTTTGTTAAATCAGATGATATACCACCAGGAAATGAAACTGATGATCAATATTGGGTTAGTGCTCATTCATATGATGAAGCACTAGAAAAAGCAGTTCAAAGATTTAACATTCCAAAAGAAAAAATTCGATTAGAACAAGGTAATTTTATTGAAACGAAATTTTAAGGATTTCTCTAGAAAACAAAACAATTCCCTATTGCATAAGAATTATCGAAATTAAGATAAATGCATAAGAGAATAGGTATTTCCTGTAAAATTGAATAATTATTACTTTTTCATGTCATCCGTAAATTGTCGGAATCACGAGAATAAAATGTCATTTAAAAATTTTAATTTATATCTATTCTTTTGTTTTACAATAGATGAAGATGTCCTTGATACATGGTTTTCATCGGGTCTTTTTCCATTTTCATCGTTTGGTTGGCCAATGGAAACTGATGATTTAAAACGATTTTTTCCAACAACATTACTTGAAACTGGTCATGATATACTTTTCTTTTGGGTTGCACGTATGGTTATGATGTCATTAGAATTAACTGATCGTTTACCATTTACTGAAGTTTATTTACATGCAATTATTCGTGATGCACATGGACGTAAAATGTCAAAAACATTAGGTAATGTTATTGATCCACTTGATGTTATTCATGGTATATCACTTGAAAAACTTCAAGAACAATTAAAAACTTCTAATCTTGATCCAAAAGAATATGAACGTGCACGACAAGGTCAACAAGATGATTATCCAAATGGAATTCCAGAATGTGGTACTGATGCATTACGTTTTGCTTTCTGTGCTTATGCTAATCAAGGTAATATTGAATTCTTTCGTGTCTTTTTTTTTTTTTTCAATTTGTTTTATTTTTAGGTCGAGATATTAATTTAGATGTCTTACGTGTTGAAGGTTATCGACGTTTTTGTAATAAACTTTGGAATGCTATTCGATTTGCAATGTCGAAAAATTTAGATATAAACGATTCAAATTGTTTTCAACCACCAGCACAATTTAAAGTAATAAAAAAATAAATAAATAAATTTAATTAAAAATTTTAATTTTTGTTTTAGCTTACTGGCACTGAAAAATCATGTGATTTATGGATTTTAAGTCGATTAAGTTATGCTATTGAACAATGTGAAATTGGTTTTAATAGTTATACATTTCCTCAAGTTACAACAGCTATTTATAATTTTTGGCTTTATGAATTATGCGATATTTATATTGAAAATATTAAAAAAGATTTATATGCAAAAGAACCAGATATAAAACGACAAGAAACTATTAAATTAATATTACATACATGTTTAGATAATGGTTTAAGATTAATTGCACCTATTATGCCATTTGTTTCTGAAGAACTTTATCAACGTTTACCAAAACCAAATAAAGGACTAAATTCACCACCTAGTCTTTGTGTTACACCATATCCACGACCAAGTCAAGTAAAGATTTTCTTTCTAGTTGTTTTTACTTCTAGAATTTTGTTTTTTTCTTTAGTTTAATCAATATCGTAATGAAAAACTTGAAAAAGATGTTGAAACTATTTATGAAGCAATTAATAAAATTCGTTCATATCGTTCAGCACAAAAAATTGTTTCAAAAGAAAAAGATAATCGTAAGTTTCTTATCGTCTATGTCAAGTTTAGTCATAATATAGATACCTATTGAAAAATATGAATGTACATCATGACGGCATCGTAATTAACATTTCTACTATGAACTTAGTTCCGTTATTTTTGAAAGATATTCAAAAAAATATATGAAAATGGTGTTTTTGTTTAATAGAAATTTTCATAAAACTTACCGAATTCTTTATAATTTGACTAAATAGATACGTGATTTAGTTCACTTACCATTGAGATCGGAAAAGATCATCATTCGAATCGTGTATTGAAATCGAGATAGATCATCATTTTCATGAATTTTTTTTTTGCGAACGTGATGAGTTTTAAAGTTTTCTCTCACAAGAAGAATTCTGCTAGTAATTAATTGCTTTTGTTTTAGTTTATGTTCAAGCTTCACCATCAATATTATTACTTTTTACGGAATATGCTGATCTGATTGAACCACTTGCTAATATCGATAATATACAACTACTCAAAAATGATTCAACAGCTGAACAAAATGAATATATATCGATTGCAACAACATCGGACTATACGCTTTATTTTAAATCGAAATGATGATCTAAAGTTTCTTTTTTTTTTTTTTTTTCTTGATTTCTGTTGTCTTTATGGTCTTGTTTATTTGAAAAACATTGCCTAATAAAAATATCATCGATAGCTCATGACAAAAAGAAAAAGAAAAGGAAATTGTCTTCTAGATAAAATTATGAGTTCAAATGAAGAAGATCAATATTCTATTCTATTTCACCGTGTTAGTCATCCAATAAATGATCGTTCAAAATTAACTGAAGAACAATTAAATAAATATGAAACATGGAAAACTAAACCTGGAATGGCACAAATTAAACTTGAGTATGTATCTTTATAAATAGAATTCAAATATAAAACAATAAATATTTATTTTTGAAAAAAAAAACAAAAAGGTTTATTGATTTTGATCATGAAGTTAGATTAAGTGTCGAACATTTAAATGAAAAAGATAAGAAATTACTTATTGTAACAAATGATGATGTGACAAATAATTCTGTTGAACCAAAAAAAAAGAAATTTAAAGTAAGCTAAAGTTTAAATATAAATATGATCGTCTCTAACGCTTTGAGGCCCAGTGGGATATATATTTCCCATCTTGAGAATTTTGAAATCTTCGAGTTTTCGAGAATCTTGGAGAAATATTTTCAATATATATTAGAAGCTAGCAGAGGTCCGNGTCGCCGTATTTTTACGGTTGTTGTAAAGGACGAACGTTTACTGTCATTGTTTACAATTAACGTAATACGCCGTAAAACGCCGTATATGATTGACGTAAACGGTCACTGTAAACTGCTGTCGTTTTTCGTCGTAAATGATTGGTGTACGACCGTTTACGGCCGGGCATGAACGACCTGGGCTGCTTTCGTTTATTTCATTTCGTCGTTCTTTCTATCCATTTTCTTCACTATTTAAATGTAAACACTGAGAATGACATGGAGAAGAATGAAAAAAATCCAAGAGAAATAACTAGCTATACATCTGCAACTGCTATTGGTGAAAAGAAAGGTATAAAAAGTTAAATATTCACTAATTTTTATTCATCATTTCATTCTTCAGATATTAATTGTGAATTACCACAAAGTTATACTCCAAAAATATGTCGAAGCAGCTTGGTGGGAAAAACAAGGTTTTTTTCGTCCAGAATATTATGACGCGAACATCCTCCATCAAATGCTTCAACACCACGAAAAATTTTTATTATGGTTACTCGACCACCAAATGTAATTGGTTATCTTCATTTAGGTCATGCTATAATGTGTACACTTGAGGAAACAATTTCTCGATGGCATCGTATGTGTGGTGATACAGTTCCTTGGGTACCTGGTTGTGATCATGCTGGTATAGCAACACAAGTTGTTGTTGAAAAAGAATTAATGAGAGAATAAAAATTATTAAGACATGATTTGGGGCGAGAAAAATTTTTAGAGGAAGTTTGAAAATGGAAAAATAATAAAGGTTTTATTAAAAAATTAATTTATTAAAAAAGAACTTTTTTTTTTCTATAAATAGTTAATTATATTTATAAACAAATGAAAGTATTAGGTTCATCATGTGATTGGTTACGACAAGACTTTACAATGGATGAAAACATATCAAATATTGTTAAAGAAGCATTCACTCGTATGCATGAAAAAAAATTAATTTATCGTTCAACACAATTAGTTAATTGGTCGTGTACACTTAAATCGGCTATTTCGGATATTGAAGTAAGGAAATAACGGATGAATCAGAAGATAATCTTTTCGCAGCGTCGAAATTTGGTCCACTTTAAGAATAAAAAAGTGCAACTATAAAATAAGTGGTCTAATGTAAATTAACGCTGCATCTTGTGATATTTTTTTACTAGATGATGAAAAAGTAAAATATAAAATCGACCATTTATTCTGACCAATTCGTTATAATTGAATTTTTTAAATTTATGATAAATATTTTTTTAATAGATCGAAAAAATGGAATTAAAAGGTCGATCATTAATCCCTGTACCTGGTTATGAACATCCAATTGAATTTAGTGTTTTAATTTATTTTGCATATTCAGTTGAAAATTCAGGTAATAATTTTGAGAAAAAAATTGAAAAAATTTGCTTGTATTTTTTAATAGGCGAAAAAATTATTGCAGCAACATCTCGTCTTGAAACCATGCTTGGTGACACAGCTGTTGTTGTTCATCCAGATGATGAACGTTATAAAGATTTACATGGTAAATATGTTCAACAGCCATTTCTTCAACGTCGTTTACCAATATTAACTGATACAATGGTTGGTCCAGCATTTGATTCAAGTGCAGTTAAAGTTACACCAGCACATGATCACAAATGATTTTGAATGTGGACGTCGACTTAATTTACAATTTATAAAATGTATTAATGATGATGATTTAATGTCATCTGAATGTGGACCATATAGTGGTAAACCATGATTTGATCTTCGACGTCAATTATTAAATGATTTAAAAGAACGTGGACTTTATTATGATTCAAAAGAAAATGAAATGATTTTACCAATATGTAGTCGAAGTAAAGATATTATTGAACCATTACTTAAATCACAATGATATGTTAATTGAAAAGAGATGGCAAAACGTTCAATTAAAGCTGTACAAGATAAAGAATTAAAAATTTTATCAAGTATTTTTGAACCTGTTTGGTATAAATGGTTAAAAGATATACATAATTGATGTATATCAAGACAATTATGGTGGAGTCATCGTATACCATCCTATTTTGTTAGTTCCGATGATGTTCCCGTTGGAAATGAAACTGATGATCATTATTGGATTAGTGCTCATACATATGAAGAGGCATTTGATAAAGTTGCACAAAGATTTAATATTGCAAAAGATAAAATCCGATTAACACAAGATGAAGATGTACTTGATACATGGTTTTCATCAAGTCTTTTACTATTTTCACCATTTGGTTGGCCAATGGAAACAGATGATTTTAAAAAAAAATTTCTAACAACATTACTCGGAATAGATCATAATATACTTTTTTCTTGGGTTGCACGGATGGTAATGATGTCATTAGAATTAACTGATCGTTTACCATTTACAGAAGTTTATCTACATGCAATTATTCGTGATGCAGATGAATGTAAAATGTCACAAACTTTAGGAAACGCTATTAATCCACTTGATTTCATCCATGATATATCATTAGAAAAACTTCAAGAAGAATTCAAAAGTTCAAAAGAAGATTATCCAGATGGTATTCCTGAATGTGGAACTGATGCATTACGTTTTGCTGTTTGTGATTATGCTGCTCAAGGTTATTTAAATTGATTAGACATTTTCTATTTTTTTTTATTTAATTTAGGTCAATATATTAATTCGAATAAATTTCGTGTTGAACGTTCTCGAGATTTTTGTAATGATCTTTGGAATGCTATTCGATTTGCAATGTCAAAAAATTTAGATATTAATGATTCAAATTGTTTTCAACCATCAACAGAATTTAAAGTAATAAAGATATTTCAAATTAAAAAATAAAATTTTATATTTTAGCTTACTGGAACGGAAACACCATGTGATGTGTGGATATTAAGGATGTGGGTGTGTGGATGGGTGTGAGTGTGGGTGTGGGTGGCTGTGTGGGTGTGGATGGGTGTGAGTGTGGGGGGTGTGGGTGTGGATGTGAGAAGAGAGAGAGTGACCCACACCCACACCCTATATACATGTTTAAATAATGGTTTAAAATTAGCTACATCTATAATGCCATATCTTTCTGAAGAACTTTATCAACATTTACCTAAACCAAATAATGGGCAAAGTTCATCACCTAGTCTTTGTGTTACATCATATTCACAATCAAGTGAAGTAAATATTTTCTTTTCTTTAATTTCTTTCTTTTATAGTTATTTATCGTCTTGCTTGTTTTAGTTTAATCAATATCGTAATAAAACTATTGAAAAATATATTGCAATTATTACTGGCGCTATTAAAAAAATTAATTCACATTATTCAACACCTGAATTTCCTCGTCATGAAGCAGTTACTCGTAAGTTTTTTAAGATTATATTACAGACATAAGTGGATATGCACCAAATCAGAACTCAGCAGCGTCGCGTGCGTGTTAGAAAAGTTGAACTTTCACAGAGCTCGTTATGGAAGTATCCTAAAGTTCGGGTATTTTCGATTATCGTTAGCTTTTTTTAGGATGTCTGTAATTCTTCATTTACTCTATTGTCTTCAGACCTAATATAGACAATCGTAAAATCCTTTTTATTAATTAATTGAAAGGAACTGCACCAGAAGTATGTCTAATCATAATCACAAAGCAACTCAAGCAGAACACGTTTCTGACAGTAAGAATGAGTAGAGGACAATAGATTTTAGTGGTTAATTTTTTCTCAACCAATTCGATCTGAAGTCTGACTCTGATGGATTCTTTTCTTCGTTGGTTGATATTTTACTTCTGAATTCATATTTCGTTTTCTTTTTCTTTAGTTTGTATCAAATCTTCATCATCAACATCGACAGATTTTAAGGAATATCTTGAACTGATTAGATCACTTACGAATATTGACAATATTCAAATACTTAATAATGAACCAACAGCTGATCAAAACGAATATATGCACATCGCAACAACATCGGATCATAAGAAACTTTATTTTAAATTGAATGATGACTTAGAATAGCTTTTTTTACTCTTGTTGTTATCGTTCATGTTTTATTTATCATAAAAAACAGTATCATCATCGGTTGTTCATAAAAAAAAAGAAAACAGAAAAAATGTTTTCAGATTAAAAATAATGAGTTCAAATGATCTATTTCAACAACTTACTCGTCCGGTAAATAAACGGTTGAAATTAACAGAAGAACAATTAAAAAGATATGAGACCTGAAAATTCAACCAGGAATGGCACATATTAAACTTGAGTACGTTTGGTTAATCAAATAAATATCTAAAAATTTNCCCTCAGTTAACACAATAATGATACTAGAGCGACTTTCTCTCTTTGAATCAACAAGAAACATGCATTAAGCAATTTTCTAAACAGATTTTTGTCGAATTTCTACGAGTACCAGTGTCCGACATGGGTCAAGTTTTTTGACCCGATCCGACCCGAGGTCAAGTTTCTTTTTGTGATCTGACCCGACCCGATGTCAACTATTTTTTTCGTAACCTGATCCAACGTGACCCGAGTAGAACTCTGTTGTCGGCCAATTGTCTCTTTCCCTGGAGAAAAATCAACATATCAATCCTTTTCTCCTTCTTTTACTTCGTAACTGGAAACAAAGAATGGTTCACCCTACTTTGATCGAAAATAAAAATCTTGAAAGATAAAAATCTCGAAAAAAGTAATTAGAAAAATACCGAAAAATAAAAATGTCGAAAGTCGGAAATCGAAAGGTAAAAATGTAGAACATAAATCTCGAAAATTAAAATGCAGATAGGTAAAAATATCGAACTATAAAAGGTCGAAGATAAAAATGACGTCTTATTGAAATGTCGAAGTCATATAAACCGTTGTTTAGTTAAAGATAAAAAAAAGTTCAATATTATTTATTTCATTTCTACGATTTATATGCATAGAAAAAAAGTTTTTTTTGCGAAGAAGAAAGTTAAAATAGGTAAAGATCTTAAATCAACTAGAATCGTGCAAGCTTTTGATATTTTTATTATCAATGGTTTTCCATTACGGTATTCTTAAATGCCCATATGTATACTTCTAACTCCCCCCCCCTGCAGTAAAAGACCCCGAGTCTTCTATTATGTTTCAGTGTAAAAATTTTCCAGGGAGATCTTGTATTATGTCCCATATTTTTTCCAGTTTTAATTAAAAAGGTTTTCCAAAAAACCGAGGCGATTTTTATGATTTCCATCAGAATTTCTCCTGATTTTAAGAGCCTAGACATAATTTTGAACATACTCTCTTAAGTTTTTCTGCTCAAAATCCTGAAAACCAGGCATATTTTGACAAAAGTACACTAATTAATTCTATTACGTCCGGCGAACTTTTTCTTCAGGGGGTCTTCTATTGCTGGGGGGGGGGGGGGGAAAGGTTTACAGTTTTTAGTTTCTACGTTTTTCTTTCGAGATTTTTATGTTTCGAGGCTTCTACTTTTCGAGCTTTTTTCATTCGACAATTTAACTTTCGGCATTAGTAGGGGGAATCCAAAGGATATGTCCTTGATATCTCACCGATATTACCCAGTTAGGACAACACGGGTATTTGATAGTGTTTTCTTGTTTGTCTTTCTATTCTTATATACACAACCTGCGACCTTTATGTAACTATTGAACAGATAGTGCACTCACTATGCATTGCTGTCCAAAGTCATTAAAGAAAAGTCGGCCAAGTAGAAGAAAAGATCGTGCGATACATAGCGTCTTGTTCTACTAAGCTTGGTCAAGCTCTCTTATAGAACTTTGAAATGAAAAAGCAAGCATTCCAAGTGCCTTTTGTATCTGCAAAATGTTCAGACTGCAGATCCAATTCGAAATCCAAAAATGTGTTTCGTGACTCGACCCGTGTTGGGCACTGACGAGTACATGTGGCAATTTTTCAATACGAGTATCTTTCGATGTTATCATTTTCCATTCAATAGATCAAGCAAAATCTTCCCAAATTGAACGATTCAGCGAGTTTAAATGTAGACTATTTCTTAATGCATGTTTCTTGTTGATTCAAAGAGAGAAAGTCGCTCTAGTATCATTATTGTGTTAACTGAGGGTATAGGTGTGGGATGCGAAAAGAAGGCCTACACCCCCACACCGCATTCACACACTCACATTCTTCTTTCACACTCACAATCCACACTCTTAACAGGAAGAGAATTCAATTAATTATAAACATTTACATGAAATATGTGATAACAGTGGAATTTTTAACAATTCTGAGCGTTTAAACATAAAAAACGCGTTAAAAAACAAATTATTAATCTTAAGCTGTTTTAACACGTTTTTGACAACTAATCAAACATTTTTAACAGTTTACATATTAATATGTTTAAACGCCATTTATGCTGTTATCGTGCCTGCCTGGGAAAGCGCGATTCGGCAATCACTGCTTCATAATCTCCATCATCAATTTGCTTCCATCAAATACATTCCAAGATAGTCTATTACGAAATATTCATATCACCATATCGTTTATATTTCTCTTCTGTATCGAAAGTGTCAATCATTGCGCATAGAGGTGTAAGTCGATAGACTGATCGGTGGCGGCGGCTTGAAGTTTAAAAACGTACTGTAGTATCATGAAAAAAAACATTTGCCTATAACCTTGTCTACACTAGAAAGATAATGCAGTATTAAATTCGTATTAAATCAACACCTGTCTACATTCGAAAGTTAATGCATCAATCAGAATTCTAGACTTTGAAATGAAACGTGGTTTTTTTCACTTCAATCATAGAGGACTCGCCCATTGAAAGCTGCTCAGTCTAATTAGAAAATCGAATCAGACTTTGATTGGTGCATCAGCTTTAATACGGTTCTGAAAAGTGCAATAAAGTTAATGCATTTTTCAAAAGTGTTTTAAATGTTAATTGACTGTTCAACCAATCATGTTTTTTAATTCAGCATCAAATTTTCTAATGTAGACAAGGCTTATTTCAATATCCCGTCCTTTTTATTTTCAAATCAATGTGTGGAAAAACTTTATTTTACATCTAGACATAATAAAAAAGTGTATAATGAAAAATAAATATAATCACCGGGATAAATAACAAATGAATAACCACCACCACGATCGTTAATAAGAAAAAGTGCCTAGCGTACACAAGTTTCTTATTTTATTTTGTTATTGTTAATCAAAATTTAAAATGCTTGTCCGTTCTTACATATATAAATATATCTAATATAATAGACATAAACAACTGAAATGATTACTTAGAATTTTTAACCGACACAGAATTAAGGGTTCTTTTACAGCTTAGAACCCCAAGCATCTGATTGATTACAGAACCAGCCCGAAAGTGAGGGTAAAGGCGAGAAAGTTAATGAAAGAGGGATATATAGGGGTTCTAAGCTGTAAAAGTACCGAATTAAGGAAAATATAAATAAAACGTTATCGATATTTATGATAGTTGCCAGCGGCGGCGGCTCAAAAATTTTAAAATTTCGAATACCATCGGCGGCGTGGCGGCTTTAATTAAAGTGCCTCAGTGGCAATGGCTTATAAATTTTTAAAATTTCTACTGTCATAGCGGCGGCGGCTCAGCCGCACGGCTTCCACCTCTAATTGCGCAATTGATAATATAAAGTATACATTTCGTAAAGTCTTTCAGCAAAACTATTTCAAAGAAGCTTTTGGAATCTATTTTCACTTAGTCCTCCAGTGTAAAATTAAAAATCGACCCACACTACTTGACTGCACCTTTTAAGGACGTCACTTCCAACTCATCGTTTTATCTTTCTCTCTCGTTCTGTGTTTTTCTTATTTTTCTCTTTATAAAATATCTGTATATGACCTAAAGAACAAAACAACATAAAAAATGCATCATCTGCGTCCGAATTCTTTCTCTGACAATACCTTGATGTAGGTTATAGATTAGCAAAGCGGCGCTGATTACGCATCAGCCAGACAGTCTCCATTCGTTCCAATAGTTCAGTTCAACTTGGTTGTGAATGTGTGCCTTCCTGACTGTTTTAGAAGTATATGCACAAATACTTTTTATACAGATAGTTCTTTATTTCGAAAAAATAACAGCATGACAAACCGACCTCAGATTTGAATTTTCCAGCATCAATTATATTTGGTCATATTGAAAAAAGAAAACACATTATACTAAAGTTTCTATGATACAGCAGCCTCTATTGCACTGAATTCTCGTTTGTAGAGTCTTTGCTACTTTTTGATTGACTTGGCTAGGCAGACAGATAGACAGATAGGAATGTAAGAATTTCAGTTCTCATGGACTGGAACTGGTTGGCTAGTTCAGTTCCCAGTGGCTGAGTTGGCCGACAAGTTCGTTTGAAAAAAGAACTGGTGAAAGTATGGCAAATACAATTGTTCTTTAACTAATAAGCACTAGCTCTTTTTTCAAAAAAAAGACAATCACGTTGGTTGACCCGGACAGGATATTGAAGCGTGTCTTTACTCTAGAAACACGATATGTAAAACCTTTTTTCGTGTTTAGGCAACAGAACTGCATTTATAGACCAGTATGCCAGAAGTTATTATTACGGAAGAGCAACGAAGAGCATTAGCTCTTGAAACCAGTACAAATGAAGAGGTTGTACTCATTCTGAATGGTCTTATCAGTATATTTGACATCAATGATGCTTCGATCGTCGAACCGATTGTCAATGGTGTTCTCGAAATTGAGATTGGAAAACTCAGTTTTAAGTCAACTGCATCTCATCAACTGTTCCGACTGATTAGCGATCATCTAATCTGTCTTTTACAGCAATGGCACCAGAGCACACCACCGAAAGAATTGGGCACGTTAGAAACAAATGTGTTTTCAAAAATAGTTTGTCTTTTTCGAAAGATGGTTAAAGCAATATGTGCAAGTGTAGATGAAGAACACGAGGAGATTGAAGAGAAAAAGAAGACGATGAGCGATCTTGAATGCCAGGAGATATGGCGATCCCTATTTGCCAGAGAAACTCTGATAAAAGTAGTTACCGAGTGCATCGATGATATCGTGACTAAACAAACCACTAATTCAAATATTGATGCATTTAACTATTTGATAAATGATGTCCTCAAGGCATATTCGCGGTTCCATCCTGATGAAGACACAGTCGTCGATGCGGAAGTGCAGTTATGGACTTATATGAAAAATTTGGCTCTGTCAGACTGTGCTATAACAGAATCCCTAATAATCCTAACCGATGAGGTGGAATTCGAATCAAAAGAACGGGCTAAATTTATCTTGAATGTATACACTGATTGGTTATCTAATGATGAAGATTTTGACATTAATGATACTAAATATTGTACGGTGCTTGTTAAACTCAGCCAAGACCGCATTGCCAGTGTACTAGTAACAAGTCAAGAAGGCAACGACGAGCTTCTGGCAAAAGCAACTATACGACGAGCAGTGCAGTACATAATTGACGAACTCTCTCAGTCATTTCTTCGTCCTAAATGGGCCGACACGTTTTCTAAAATGATCGATTTCAAAATAATTGATTATTTATTTTTCATTTTAAACAGTCAATATCTGATCGATCGAATAGAAGCTGTTGATGATAGTCGTGAATATGGACTTAGCTGCTGTGCCGTAGATAAATCAACACCCACAGTTCTCTTGGCAACTGCGATTGAATGTTTGTACAAACTGCTAGTGTCATCGAATCAGGAAATATTTTATAGAGTGCAGAATAGCAAGCAAACATTTCTCAGTCTTATTAATTCTAAATGTCGACCTATACAGGCCTATGCGTACCATTGTCTCGCTCAAATCATGAGTGAAAATGATATAAAACAATTGAACAACGCACAAGAAATCACTGCTATATTTATTGGTTACCTTACGCAAGCCAGTGGACATTTTCAACGTGTCAGTTGTGGAGGAAATTTGAAAGATTTGCTGAAAAGTATAAAAGGTATGTGCTCTAGATATTGGTTCTTGGTGTTCGTCTTCATATAACCCGATCATCACTTTTTTTAGCTCTCGCTCAACATGATCAGATTAAGAGCGAATTGATAAAACAAGGTGGACTGCAATTAGCGAAGAAATTTTCAGAAGTACAACCTGATTATACGTTTGATGATGACTACAGTCGACAGCTGGCATTGGAAGTTGTATGGTCATTGTTATTTAATATTACAGCTGTCGAAAACCTACGCGAAGATCATGTATTTCGAGATTATATGAAATCGATTGTAGCAGACAGTGATAAACCGGTGGGTTTAAAAAAAGCCGCCGAGGGCGTTCTGTGGAAGTTGGAAAAAGAAGAAGAGTTCAAAAAACAGAAAGAACATGAAGACTCAAATAATCAGTCTTACGATTTAATGATTAGCTATTCATGGGCTGATCAAGAGTTGGTTCATAAGATTTACGAGCATTTAACTAGTAAGGATTCCTATCGGATTTGGCTAGATAAAAACGAAATGCATGGATCAACAATTTCAGCTATGGCAAGCGCTATCGAACAATCGGAATTTATTATCATGTGTATGTCAGAAACCTATAAACGTAGTGTTAATTGTCAGTCAGAAGCCGAATATGCGTTCCAGCGTCGGCGACTAGTTATTCCACTTCTCATGCGTGACCATTACAAGCCAGATGGCTGGCTCGGATTTTTGGCGGGCAGCCGGATATACGTTGATTTTGGGGGTAAACATGATTTCGAAACAGCAATTAAACTGTTAGTGCATGAAATTGAATTGAATCGGAAAAGTCAACAGCAGACAACGCCGATACATACAGTCAGTGAAATAGAGAAAGGAGCAACAGCGCGGTAAGAAAACATCTTTCCTGCTAGCATTTATGTGTACATAAATGATTCGCTTCGATCCATTTTATTTGCAGGATTGATTTACAAACTACCTGCCCTTCGGATACTGCTGCTATTAGAACTACTCCTGAGAACGTCTCATTTCAATCAAAATCAGCAAAGTCATTTCAGTACGAATCGTTAGAGAAATTGACAGAGGAAAACGTGGTCAAATATCTTTCCAAACATGATCTGACTCCAATGATACCATTATTCTACAAGCTCAATGGCCAAGAGCTTGTTTCCCTTCATGAACTATGCATAAAACATACGAAATCAATGTACGACTCACTCAAACATGAATTGTCTGAACTACATCAACAAGTTTTACCCATAGGAGTCTATCTCCGTTTCATTCATCGTGTTGGCAAGGAAAACGTTGACGTCAGCGAGCTTTAATTGTTTTAACAAAACTAATTCTCGTTTCGCAGAGTTTACGAGAGAGCATCCAGTCTTTCAAAAACAATGCAAAATGATTAGCTTATTTTGTAATAAAATAATCCACGTGCATCCGTTTGTTTGATGAGATACTACTCACAAAAAATATTTTCTGGTTCTAATAAATCCAATAGGACACATTCGACAAGAACTGTTACTAGTTAAAGATTCGTAAATCTAATGAGCCAGCGCTTTATCAGTTGATGAATAGCTAATCATTAAATTTTGAGGGTGAGGATGACTTTACATTTGATAGTTCTAATTCGAACATGCCAAGAAATCAAGCACATACCACGATGCGTTGTGATCCTGCACGGTGTAGGTGTGGGTGGGTATCGGTGTAGTTCTACTATTCAAGCACACTCACAGCCACCCTCGCAGCAATATGAATATGAGCGTAATTATACACGACTTAGATGTCGAATATTTTCAATGTGTCTAATATTTCACACACCGCTTATATCAGTAATCCCTTCGATTCTTCCAGTATCGTCTATGATAGTACTTAATTTACTTTCGAACGTAATCCACAAAAAATATGTAATCGTGTTAGAAGCACGAAGAACGGTATTCGTGCAACTCAAACTCTCAAAGCGGAATATCTCTGATAGAAGATCACAGTCGTCTCGAGAGAAGAGCCTTCGCCATCATCCGTATATCAATAGTAAGCCTTTTCTCACTCATATTTTTTGAGCTACCCAACATTTCCTCTCACGTTCTTTTTAGAAGTCACAGTGAGATCGAAACAGAGATCATATGCCACCAATTGTTTCTGCTAATATTCAAGTGATTGAATGTAGCCTTTGAAAATAGTTAGCACAGTAAGATGAAGTTCCAGACCCAGTTCAATTTCCTTGCCATATACTTTCGATATTAAAATGAACTTCTTGATCCAACCTAATTCAACCCAAAACATATATACACTTCATTGCAGTCTAATTGTCATATTAAAATGAATTTTCCTGACTCAACGGAACCCACTCCGATCTACACAGAATACGTATAGACTTTATTGCTATATACGTTTCGGTTTGAAATGAATTTGATGGTCAAACATGATACCACACTAGGAATCCTGTTGCTTGAATGTAGTGTATGATTATTAATGGCGAACTATAAATCATATAGGGTGTGAGTATAAAAGAAGACAATGCCCACACCTTTCCGAAATATTGTTTTAAATTTTCTTGAGATTTCGCTATTTGCCCCTTGAGAATCGTTCATCAGAAGTTAGAAAAGATAAAAAACATTTCACTTTGCACAGATGCTGTGACAAAGAAGAAACTCCAACTGTGACTGAAATATTGTTATGTGAATAAGTGAAAATTTTAATGAGTAATTCTCACTGTGCTCATGCAACTGTAATATCTTAGAAAGTGTGCGTTTGTGATATACGTCGTTTCATAGAAGAGTAGTGCATTAATACTTTCTACTTGTAACATAAATTCTATAGTAAAGACTAAAAGGGATATGTCACTTCTTTGTTAACTTAGCCATATTATCAGAAAAATAGTTTTCCATTGACTTATCGGAATAATCGTTCTTACCATTGTGATAGGAGATGATTGTCGTCATTGTTTTAATCTTACATTTAATTGCTACTTTAACTAACATTGAATTAGTTTACCCAATTTTCATCTTCATTAGATTTATGAATTCTTTCGATCAAAACAATATCAAAATTAAAACGAAAATTTTTAGTCAATCGATTCTTAAGTACAAAATTATTTTGAGTATCTATAAACTATTTCGTAATGTGATGTTTGTCAATACATATGAACGATTTCAGCATTTGAACATAATCAATGAACATCGATTCTTGTGTCATATGATGAATTAAACTCATTTCTTGTTTTCATACTTGAATGTCAATCGAACAAGAAATCCTACACATTGATTCTTTTCTAACATTTACTGATACAATGGATAGATTTTCAATCGACATCATTGACATCGTCTGTTCGATTATCATTACAAAATCAGATTCGTCGCACATTGAACTTTGCTCATCAATATGAAGAAACTTATATGTGTCTTGAAATAACAAAGAAAAATATTTTTTCCATGTTCAACTCGGCTCGAATTAACTTCACTACAATAGAACTTACAGTTTTCCTATCGATATAGTACTGTTGGTCGTTTTGCTGGAAAGCTCTAGAAACTCACCATAATTTCTGAAGAAACCTTTTAAAACTAGAAGTCGGTTTTATGAATTTTTCCACTAGATATCTGAGAAATAATGTCTATATGGATATTTCAAAAAGTCTTTTTCAAGAGAAAGCGCTTTTTTTGGAGGAGGAGAAGGTGTTAAACATATTACATCTTATAACCACGTGCATTGTTTTTGTTGATAGTAAAATTCGCATTAACATTTACGATTAATAGTGACCTCTATATTTTAATAATTTTTATGTTTTATCGAATCGAACCGAACGTTCCACCAATGTTAACAAACGTTTACCAACTAACTAATCGTAATAGAAAGCAAAAGAGAATAATGCCTATTCATTTGAATCAATCTATTATTTTGATCTAGTCATTCATCTCAATTTTGAGATGTTCTTTTAATTAAAAGAAAAAAAAATGACAACAGAAAATATTTCTCCAGTGTCTTTAACTTCAAAAATCCATCATCAACCTAATAAATTTAAAAAAAACAGTGAAAATAGTTTACCAACAAATGCCAGTGATTGGAGTAAATATGTTTTATTTTTTAATCAAATTTATTTATGATTATTTCTAGCAATTACGTTTTGTATAATTGGCTCTGCATGTTCAAATAAACGACTTCTATCTTCACTTGAAGATCGTTATGTCTATGAATGTATTAATGATGAACAACAAGTAATTCGTACATTAACCGAAACAAAAATTTTATTAACACAACGACAATTACGTATTTATGTTCTTGATTCATTTGATGATTGTGTATTTCAATATTTAAAAGAAAATGAAGATATTTATACAATTAGTTCGGAACTTGTATTATCATGTGCAGAAAAAAAAATTGTAAAAAATTTTAAAAAAGAAATCTTTTGTTTTTGTTCTCTAAAATTAAAATTTCTTTAGGATATTCCTGTACCAAGAAGAAATCGACCTTTATATTGTCAACATTTATCTTCAGCTGTCATATGTTTTGTTGGAATTCGGAAAGATACACATGTATGTTAAACAAAAAATATTATTTTTCTTGTATAGTTTTTTGTTATTATTTTAGACGGAATTTAGTGATTTTGTTCATTATCTTGGTGGATCTGTTCGAAAAGATTATAGTGATCAAGTAACGCATGTTATATCACATGCAAATATTGGTGAAAAATATCTCGTAATGATTTGTCTAATTTTCTTTATTAAAATATATATGATGATTTCTTTTTTTTTTGTAAATTCTTTAGACAGCATTTAATATGGAAAGAAGTGAAATTCTAACAGAAGAATGGCTTTTACGTTGTTGGAATGAACGAAATAATCGTCAATTTAATCCATTTGATTCTGAATTTATTCGAATATATCGTGCTAAACCATTGCATAATCTTAATTTATTCTTTTTTGGTTTTAATAATGATGATGAATTACAACATTTACATATTTTAACCAATGAACATGGTAAACCAAATCTATTTCTTGATTTTTTTTAACGAGGAAATTATTCCAACTCTAATTCACTGTTTGGACTCATATTCAATTTACAAGGAGATCTTGGTAAAACTCGAAAAGGGTTCGTGCCCATAGACCTTCGCCACAGAGTTATGACTGCTTTACTGCATTTTCGATCTGAAATTCAGCTTGTCGATAGGTCTAATGACCTGTAGAGTATTGTGGAAGGTTTAGCCGAAAAGAATGTTCATTTATCGAGATATTGAATTTCCAGCCAATAGACGTTTGCGACAAAATTCAAAAATCTATGCGGGCAAACTCTTTTAAACTTTTTCTAGTTTTACGAAGACTTTTTGTGAACTCAAACGGTGATCAGGTAGTTTCGCTACTCCTATCCAAGGTTTCTGGAGAACAATTTCCGAATGCTGTCTTTTATGAGATACTTGAGATTACAATGGCTCGCAAATTTCGTCATGATGCTATGTTGATCGAGCTGAAATGTTTTTTTCATTTTTGATGAAAATGTTTAGCATATTATTATGATTAGGAAGCCTATAGTTGATTCTAAAGGTAAAGATCAAGCAAAACTATCGTAATTCTGCTAAGGTGACTAATAGACTCGAATTCTCTTCAGATTATTCTAATTTCAAGATGTTTTCTATATCAGTTTTAAACTCGGATTGAATTACAAAAAGCATTTTGAATGTTTTTTTTTCTCCATTTAAGAGAACGTGGAAAAACTTAGCCTAACAAGAACGCATGTATCGCATGATCTTTTTCTTCTATTTCACCGTTCATAGCAAGTGCTCCATTGTGCGTTCAATAGTGATATAAAGATTACATGTTGTATATATAAGAAGAACGAAATGAGAAATAGATTTTCTGAAGAGAAACAGAAATGATGGATATCTGGATCCAAATAAGATCTGATCAGTGTTGTACACTGCTGGATATGTCGAAAACGGATGTACAATCATGATGAATCACTTTCTAGTGGTTCTTTTATAAAAATGAAGCATAATTTTTTATGCATCAAATAAATTACATGAGAATTTTTCTGTTTAGGTGGATTTATAACAAAAGAAATGAATGACGCAACACATATTGTTCTTTCTGATATAAATTTATTTATATCAACTTATTCATCGTATACACGTAAACATCGACAATATATTGTTCATATACAAGTATGTATTAATTAATAAAAAAAACGATTAAGACTAGAGAGAATATTTGTTTTTAGTGGTTTTGGGAATGTTTATGTTTAATGGGTAAAGCTGATGAATCAATGTACATAGTTAATTTAACTGGTAATCAAACCACAACACCCGATTCTTCGTTATTACTACTTTCACCATCAACACATGGTGATAGTCTATTACATGATTCATCATTAGATACAACTGTTAAACGAAAACGTCGACATAAACATTCATATATAAGTGAACAAATTGATAATACTTCAAATTCAAAACGTTTTAATAGTAGTACTAATGAGCATGAAAATTTATTAGATGATAATATTGTTATAGGTAAATTACAATGAATAAATTTCAATTAAAACAAAATGTCTGTTTATTGTTATAGAAAAACAACAAAACATTAAAAAAGATAATAAATGTTTAATTGGAATGGAATTAAGAGAAACTGAACGTAATTATGTTACAATGTTATCCAATATTATTCGTGTAAGATTGATATTTTAGAAGTTAAATAGCACGAAAAGAAAATTTATATAAAAACAAAAAAAAATTACTATCGGAATGAATCTTGACATTTGAAACTTCTGACTTTATATAATACTGATCATCAGTTTGGGTGTAACAAAGGTTGAAAAATCTTTTAGAAAATTCTACTTAGCAATGAACATACTTTATTGTACATTATTTTTTTTTTCATTTAGCAACTGTAGACGATAAATCATCTAAATATTCTATAGCAATTATAATACCGTCATCATATCGTTCATCAAGATAGTCCATAAGCCGTTGAATTTCAATGAAATAGCTGATGATTTTGGTTTAGTTAAATCTGGTGAAGATAGAGCAGATGCAGTCATAACAGCAGAAGTTTAATTGTATAATAGTCTTTTGTCCGACTGTTTTAGTTAATCAATATGAGGTATTATACTGATCAGCATTACTACTGATTGCTAGAGTCCAGTAACTGAACGCAAAAAAAAGACAAAAAGTTATCCCCTACTTTCGAGACGACTATTCAACTGTATTGTGCGTACTAGCTGAAAAATAAATCAATTTGTCATGAAGGCACCCTTATTGTCAGATTATCACGAATTGTATTGTATCGCTGTCTCCTCGATTAGCTTTTTATATATATTGAGCAAAAAATAGACACATTCATTGAGAAACCATACAAAAGTTTTTCAAAACATTTTGAAATGAAAAAAAAACACAAAGTGATAGTTACAATATTCAGATTATTAGAGCTTTTCAATGACTATACCTCGGTAATGTCTATGGTATTTATCAGAACAGATATAGGATAGGATAGGACAAATCTAGATAGGATAATAAAGAATTTCTATAGTGATAATAAATTTTTGAAAGTTAATTGAAGTGACAGTGAAGGTGCTAGTGTGGAGATGAGTCTTCTCTTCTCCGTTTAGTGAATAACGAAAAAAAAACAACCACTGATGTTTATCGTTCTAAAACAAAACAAACTTCTAATCAGTTAATATTGCATATGGAGAGCGAGATTAATTCTTAAAATGTTGTTTTTTTTTTGACATATTCGAACAAAGTCTTTGTAATGGATATGGGTTTTAAAAAAATTAGAAAAGCCTATATTAACTGAAATACTTCAAAAACATCAATTCTCATTAAGCTTGATATTTTTATGATGTTAATCGTCATATAGTTAGGAGTCAGTGAAAAAAGTCTTTCTCTACTCACCTATATATATTTCGTTTGTGAATCAAAAGCTGATAATTAATTTTCGATTCTTAAGAGAAACATAGGGTAGATATCATTCAACAAAAAACAATATGAAGGTAAAAGGATTGAAATCTGATGAAAACTTTTTTTAAGTATAGAGTATAGTATTCGATACACATATATTTGCTGATTTGAAGACAAAGTGATTTTCTCAACAATCAAACCATATTAAAAAAAAAAGAAATATCAAGTCTAGTAAGACTTGATGCTTAAAAAGAATTTACTTGATTTGTTAGTACCTTACAATCATACAGAAATCTTCTTGTACTATACTAATCATTCATATTATAGAATTTTTATTCTAAAAGTAATTAATGAGTTTAATTTCATTAATTTATCTGAACTATACTAAACATTTTTTTTTTCAATAGATTTTCAAGACAGAAATGGAAAAAGATGATCGTCGAAATGGTCCTATACTAACAAAAGTTGAAAGTACACAAATATTTGGTAATATCGAAGAAATCTATCATTTACATTTATCTATTGTTGAACAACTTGATCGAGCTATAAATGAAGATGAATGTATTGGTTCAGTATTTTTAACTAATGTTAGTATTTTAAATCTTAGAAAATAAAAATATTTTTCTTTTCTTTTTCGCAATATTTAGTCTGTTGAACTTTTACGCGTTTATCAACCATATACAAAATTTTACGATAAAACAATTGAAGCAATTCATACATTAGAAAAAACTAATCCTCGTTTTTATGCTTATCTTAAAGTAATTTTCTTTTATTGAATAACTAATCGAATAAAACATATTGTTTTTTATAGATTTGTGAACATAAAACTGAATTAGGTAAACAACATTTAGCTGATTTAATGATACGACCTATTCAACGTTTACCAAGCATATTATTATTATTAGAACGTTTACTTAAATATACATCAATAACACATATTGATTATCAATTATTAATTGATTCATTAGATAAATTACGTGAAATAGCAAAAAAATTAAATGAAGAAAGAGGAAAAACAGAAAAACATTTATCAATGTTTAATATTGTTAATAGTATTGATAATTGTCCAGTAAGAGAATGATTTCAATAGAGAGTTTTTTATTAAATATTTGTTTCAATTTTAGCCAGAATTACTTGCTGCACATCGTAATTATATAGAACAATTTCATGTTATTGAACTTTCACAAGAATTAACAACAACACGAACACATTTATCTCTTTTTCTTTTCTCTGATTGTCTTGAAGTATATCATCAAGTAAATATAAAACGTACGTTTTATATTTTTGATTTTGTTATTAGGTAACAAAATTACGTGTTAATATGTGGAAAACGTCCGGTATGAAAACATATAAACATATGGCACTTATTCAATTAAGTGATATTCGAAGTTTGTTTGATATCAATCCATCGTCATTAAGAATTGATGGTAAAATTATTGACTGTTTTCTTTTTGCAGAATTCACATTATGCTTTTTTGAAGGAAAATGTATAGTGAGTATAGAGTTTAAGTGAAAATTTTGCGCCTCGCCTTCATAGCAAGACCAATGATTATGCTGTACGTTTCCATAGAGCTGAAGACTACTGGTACCAGAGTTCCTTAACAACTGAACGACATCAGCAATAAGGCTTAGACTGTTCTATATAGAGATGTATGGGATAGATTTTAGTCTTGGTCACCAGGAACGGGACTGAAGACTATGAGAAAAAACTTTTCTGACCGAAATTGAAGATTACAGTTAAATATTTTATGCTTTTAAGCGAATTATCTTATATATCATCAATCATAATATAATTTAAGAGACATAACCCGAAAAATGTCAGTCATCGACTACATAAATCAAAAAACAAGTGTTGTAGAACCTTGTTGATATGATACGAATAAGTTCTAGAATAGTTTTCTCTAGACTCGAACCTAAAAAACTAGAATCATTGGAACTAAGGTAGGTGAAAAAAAAACGTTACCGGGAACCAGTCCCAAAATAACCTAATCCTGCATATTTCTTTGTAGTAGTGATGCGTTGATTTGCCACAGTCGTCATATGATCAACATAAAAGGTGCAGGAATTGGCAGATCGGGAAATGTCAGAAAATTCTGCGCAATTTATATTAGCATAATGAGGGTAAAAAAAACATGTGAGTTCGACATTTTAGTCCTAAAGAGACTTTGCTAACAAGTTTTTTTTTCTTTATTTAAATAAAATTTTTCTTATTATAGAAACTGAACAATTTGGAATACTTTGTTCAATTGATGAGCAACCACGTCAACTTATATTTCGTGTTATTAATGGAAATACAAATACTAGTAGTAATAGTTCAAAATCTTATTTTACTGATTCAATATCTTCATCATCATCGATTTCAACACTATCGAATAGTATTCATCATGGACATAATAAAACTGATGTACTTTATCATTTGTCTAAAGCCATTTCAGATGATCGGTGTTTACTTGATAAAGTAAATTATTTTAAAAGAAAAAAAAATAATGTACCTTTTTTCTATTTTAGTCTTCACTTATTCAAACAGTTACTAATTCGACTAATAATTATCATATATATTGTTCTCAAACATCCCTTGAAAATTCAGAAATTGATTCAGGTTTACGTTCAACTAGTAGTCTGAATTTATTAGGTTTAGCACTTAAACGGTTTGAAATTTTTTTTTTGGTTTTTCTTAATTAATTAATATTGTATATTTTCACATTCAAATTTTAGTGGTCTTCATAAAGCAAATAAACGTTTAAGTCGAGCTTTTTCATTCAGTCCAGAACCTAATAAACATTTATCGAAAAAAACTAATAGTCCAATTCATTTATTACAAGATGAATGGTCGAATACGTTCGATTCAAATAAACGAATGAGTATATCATCAAGACAAGTAAGTATTTTAAAATCAACATTTTCTACAAAGTTTGAGAAAGTTTCGGTACATTTTGACTGCTGAATAGAATAGGAACAAGAAAATGACCAGAATACATAGGCAACATTGTTATATTTGAAGATACCCAAATTGATGTATGCACAAAGCACAATTGATTTTCGCCATATTCATAAGTTATCTGAGTTTTTATAATAGTTTAGGACTTCGCAAAAAAAAATCGAAAGTTCTATTTTCTAAGCATGATTATACATACATCGAATGTGAATTCTGATTCGGCCTTTGGAATTTGGGAACTATCCAACAATTTCAAGACTATTTCTTCGAATGCTTCCAGATCTTCGATTTTTGAAATATTTACTTCATTGCGTGTAGATACATTATTATAGTCAAGTCTGAAATTTCTTCTTCTGATTTACTCCTACTTGTTTTTTATTAATTAGCTGAAAATGACGGCAGCTAATCTAGAACCCGAACTTTCGCGTTCGATGTTTGACTAAGCGAGACAATATTTTGCTACAAAATGAGTCCGAAAATATTTGAACTTGATAGGCTCTATTTATGAACCTCTACAGTAGAAGTTCTGTTGAAATAAACTCCTTTTCTTATTTATCGAAAAACAAACTCGAGAAGATAAGAGTTTCTGTCGATTTCGAATATGTCTATCTCGTTTTCTTTTGCTTAGGATTCGTTCATAAAAACTGTTCATTATTTGAATTCATCGCCATTGATGCAATCTATTCAAGAACGTAAGTTCACTGAATACTACTTTCAATTCTTTCATTTGATTTATATAATTTTAGATTAAATATGTAACATGCTCAATCTTTTTTCCGTTCTTTTATGTCTGATATCTTTCACTTCTTATCTGTTTTTTGTACATCAGTATACGTTTGTTCAATAGTACTTCAATGCGTGTGTGTGCGTGTGCTTTTTTGTCTTTCGGACTTCAATCATGGTAATAAGTTCGCTTTTGCGACTGATAAAACAAAGAATATTTTTTTTTGCTCAAAATAGAAAACTCACTATGTCATTGTCCTTCTTTTTTTCCTCTTCACGATGAATCCACTTTTTGGAGTAATCCTCTGCAATACTGTTTCGGTTCATCATATGTTATCTTTTTTTTTCTCTGTGTATTGATCAGATGTGATCCAAAACAAGAACTTATAATAGAAAGAAAAAACCAATGTAATTTTTATGACTAATGAATGACTCATCTCCTCTATTGCATCATGTTACTGACATTACACTATAAAGTGAATAGAAATGAATACATTTTTTATACAAATTATTTTCAGATAATGGCAACAGCAGATGATACAAACGATATTAATTTACAAAATTTAAAAGTCGAAGATTCGACTACTCCAAAACCGGAAACAACTGGTGATGCGACATCTACAGACAAAGCAGCTAAACCAAAAAAAGAAAAACCAAAGCAAGAAAAGCCTAAACAAGAAAAACCGAAACAAGAAAAAACAAAACAGGAAAAATCTCAGGCTACTGCAGAAGCATCCGTAGAAGAACTTGATTTTGATCGTTCTCCTGAAGAAGTTGTACAAGCTTTGGATCAATGGTCAAAGCAACCATCAACATTAAATAAACCAAAACCTGATGAAAAGATGTAAGACGAATGCTCAATTACATAGAGTAGAAATCTGCATCCATATCCCACAGACCATGACAGGCATTACCATGAAAACGTCAAAGACTGTATGTCAATACCATCTGGTTAACTACCTTCGTATTGCATTTCTGAAGCATTTAGTAAAAGGAGCTTCAAGAAAGGTCGACCTAAAATAGATAGCATTAAACAGACTCCATGTGATTAGCAATAGAAGCTGCATCATGTTTCACATTTTAATTCTGCACGGATTCCAATAACAACTTTATTAATATTTTTTTTTCTTGTTCGTAGAATACCAAAGCCTAATGTTCGAAATATTATGATAACAAGTGCTTTACCTTATGTCAACAATGTACCTCATTTAGGTAATCTTATTGGATCTTTATTAAGTGCTGATGTTTTTGCTCGGTAAAAACGAACTATTTTTTATTTATTTATTTATGTTTCATTATTAATATTAAATTTTAAGGTATTGTCGCTTGAGAAATTACAATACTTTGTGTATTTGTGGTACTGATGAGTATGGTACAGCAACTGAAACAAAAGCATTAGAAGAAAAATGTACACCACGTGAAATTTGTGATAAATATTATGATTTACATACAAAAATTTATAAATGGTTTCAATTAGAGTTTGATTTCTTTGGACGAACATCAACACAAAAACAAACTGAGTAAAATTTTTACCTCTCAAAAAACAAGACAGTATCTATTTTTTTAATAATTGATTGAATTGTTAATTTTAGAATTGCTCAAGATATTTTTTGGAAATTACATAAACGAAATCTTATTTTTAATCAAAGCGTTGAACAGTTATATTGTGATACTTGTCAACGGTAAAAATATTTGTCGATTATTTGTTTCGTATAGATTCATGTATTTGCAGTTTTCTGGCAGATCGTTATGTAGCTGGTATATGTCCAAATCCAGCATGCAAATTCGTTGATGCTCGTGGTGATCAATGTGATAAATGTGGAAAATTAATTAATGCTGTTGAACTTATTCAGCCCAAATGTCAAATTTGTCGTAATGCACCACAAATTAGAAAATCGGAACATCTGTTTCTTGATTTACCAAAAGTACGATAATAATCTACGCAAGATTAGAATTTCTTTTTCGAAGTGATAAGTGCTTTTTTCCTCGAATTTCTCGAAATCAGTTGATCTGTGCTCAATCAACATAGAAAGTATTAATTATGGTGATGTTTACGCTCATTTTTCAAATTGATAAGAAAGTAATGGATGTATAAATAGAATTTCTCTATTTTATTGTAAAATCGTATTAGAAATACTTTTCTTTGAAATTTCATCTAATGCTTAAGTATTGCTTTAACAGTGAAATTCATATCATTTTTGAAAGTAGTCTTCTATGGTTATTAAATACGAGTTGGACATTCCCATATTTTATAGCAATCTTGAGAAAAACATTACTCATTGATCGCTAAATAATTTTCTTTTCAATCTATTTACAATGTAATCAAGTCTCTCAATTTCTAAAATCATTGATTTAGTTATCACCCGATGTTCAATCATGGTTTCAAAAATCAAGTACAACTGGTCATTGGACAAATACAGCAAGTACAATTACTGAAGCTTGGCTTAATGAAGGTCTTAAACCACGTTGTATTACAAGAGATCTTAAATGGGGAACACCAGTACCTTTAGAAGGCTATACAGATAAAGTAATCGTTAATTTAGTTTATTTTAATATTAATAAAAATAATTGTTCTATAAAGGTTTTTTATGTATGGTTTGATGCACCAATTGGTTATATATCAATAGCAGCAAATTATACTGATGATTGGGAAAAATGGTGGAAACAACCAGATAAAGTAAAATCTAATATATGATAAAAAATAAGTCTGAATATGATTTAATTGTAGGTTGAATTATTTCAATTTATGGCTAAAGATAATGTACCATTTCATTCTGTTATCTTTCCAGCTTGTCTTTTGGGAACACAAGATAATTATACAACTGTTAATCATCTTTCTGGCATAGGTTATTATTGATTATGCGTTGAATCTTCTTTTCTTACGGTATTTTATTTTTATTCTTAGATTATCTTAATTATGAAGATGCAAAATTTTCTAAAAGTCGTGGTATTGGTGTATTTGGTGATCATGCTCAACATACAGAAATTCCTTCGGATATTTGGAGATTTTATCTTTTATATGTTCGGCCAGAAACACAAGTAAATAATTTTAATTAGACAGATGATTTATTATATTGATTAATATAGGATAGTGTATTCTCATGGGCTGATTTAATGTCAAAAAATAATTCTGAATTATTGAATAATCTTGGCAATTTTGTGAATCGGTAAATGAATTTATATTTCTAAATAAATCTCAATTGTTTTTCTATTTTTAGGGCCATTCCTTTTTGTGAAAACAACTTCGCTGGTAAAATTGGTGATGTTAATCAATTAGAAACACAATTGGATCAATTATTTGTTGCTCAAATAACTCATGAATTAAATGCTTATTTAGAAGCCATGGAAAAAACAAGGTTAATTCATTCATTTTGTTTTTGTATATTGAATTTTAAGCTTCATATTTTAGACTTCGTGATGGTCTTAAATGTGTTTTACGTATGTCTCGTTATGGTAATCAATATTTACAATTAAAACAACCATGGAAAAAATGCAAAGGTTCTGATGCTGATAGGTAAAGTTTTTTATTCAAGTCATTTGTATAAAAAAAAACATTAAAAATTCTTTTAGACGAGATGCTGAAATAAGTATTACTCTTGCATTAAATCTTGTGTATTTACTTTCATTGGTGTTACAACCATTTATGCCAACAACATCGGATGAAATTCTACAACAACTTAATATTAAGGAAAATGTTTATGCATTAGAGAATGCTTTTCGTTGTTATTTACCAGCTGGTCATACAGTTGGACAAGCTCGGCCATTATTTAAACGTATTGAAAAGCCTTTGGTAGATGAATATCGTTTACGTTTTGCTGGTCATCAGAAATGAGACTTTTTGAAAAATTCTTTTTCATTTGTTATTATTGTTGTTCTCATTTAACTAAGAAAAAAAAAGAATAAATATACGTGCTCGACGTCGTTAGTCTATCAATTACAAAACTACTTACGGCTTATCAAAATTAGTAGCAAAAGTATTTTAGTTTCTTATAAAAAGATTAAAAGAACTCTATATATATATGATTTGGCAGTTAAAACAATGCTCTACATTTCTCCATCATTGGATCATTCTTGAACTCACATTACAATAGTAATAACATTTTGATAAAAAGAACTGTTTGTTATGATCACCAGCGACGAAACGATTTCAATGTAGAATAGGCTCGACGTTTAAGACAAATCAGCCCGGAAAGCGGGTTGAATAGTGGTTTGCTTTCTTGTTTCGAGTGGAATCCGAAATTATCGAAGTAACAGAGAAATACTGCTTAGAAATATAACATAATTTAAACGTTATTGAGTTATCGAACAATGTAAACGTATTTCTATTAGATTCATAACTCTGAAATATTGTTCAATGGTTGCTATTGTTACAGAAGTTGCCAAATAAAGCGATAACAATAGTTTGAATTGAGAAAACAGTTTTTGAACTTGTTACGTATTTTGAAAGATAAAATGCGGGCTGATTTCGTAAAAACGCGTCATTTGTCAGAAGAAAATGAAAAGTGTAAAAGTCATAGAAAACTTTTACATTTAATAGAGCTTTTCTTGAGACTAATGAGATAAGATTTTGAACGGTCCCAAAACGAAAGTATGGACGGAAAATTTTTTCGCATACTTTCGTATCTTCACTATTGCGACTCAAATTTTGTAGCGTAATGTTCTCTTACTATTGGTTCATCATTTAATCTAAATTTCTTCGGTGGTTAAAAAAGTTTTTCACTGGTCTCCAACGAAAATAGATGCAATATTTTGACTTGTCTGAAGTACTTTCAAGCCGATCAAAGTGAGCAACCGTTGGTACGAGAAACTTCGGTTCGTATTTTCTGTGCAAACTCATATTTTGGTTGTTTTAAAGATTACTTCACTACTCCAGAACGAAAACTGAGACAAAAAATATTTCAAGTTTATATTTGGAAAGCCCGTAAAATGTTGACTCAATCCGTAGAATTTGACGCTTCGGCAACATTTTTAAATAAGCCAAATATAAACAAACATGTTGCCACAAAATTGTGTATCAACTCGTTATTACAGTCATGTACATGTTTACAGCACGATGCAACGATTAAAAGTCCTGTTTATTCTTCCATTTCGCTTTTAGAATTTTAGAATGAATTTGTAACATGATCATCTTTTACGTCCTTTTATGTCTGATACCTCTCACACTCCTTTTCTTTTGTTTTTGCATATCAGTAAAATGTAGTTCAATAGTACATCGATATGTATGTGTGCTTTTTTCTCCTTTGAATAACAATCATCGAAATACGTTAGCTTTTGCAACTGATAAAAAAAGACTTTTTACTCAAAATAGAAAACTCCTAATGTAATTATACTTTTTTCCTCTTGGCGATTAATTCACTTTTCGGAATAATCTTCTAAAACACTGCTTTAGTTCGTAATATGCTATATTTTTTCTCTCATCTTTGCAATTTTATGACTAATTAATGACTCATGTCATCTATTGCATCATATTATTGACATTACACTGTAAATTGGGACAGAAATAAAACATTTTTTCTACAAATTATTTTCAGCTAATGGCAACAGTGGATAATACAAACGCTATTAATTTACAACATTTAAAAGTCAAAGAAGCAACTACAGTGACGCTGGAGGTGGCTGAATCAAAGAAAAAAAAACTCACAACCAGAAAAACTTGATTTCAATCGTTCGCCTGAAGAAGTTGTACAAGCTTTGAATCAATGGTCAAAGCAACCATCAACATTAAATACATTAAAACCTGATGAAAAGATGTAAGACGAATGCTCAATTACATAGAGTAGAAATCTACATCCCTATCCCACAGACCATGACAGGCATTACCATGAAAACGTCAAAGACAGTATGTCAATACCATCTGATTAACTACCTTCTTATTGCATTTCTGAACCATTCAGTAAAAGAAGGTTCAAGAAATGTCTCCTAAAATAGATAGAGTCAAACAGTCTTCCTGTGATTAGCAACAAAAGCTACATCATGTTTCACATTTTAATCCCGCACGGATTCCAATAACAACTTTATTAATATTTTTTTTTCTTGTTCGTAGAATACCAAAGCCTAATGTTCGAAATATTATGATAATAAGTGCTTTACCTTATGTCAACAATGTACCTCATTTAGGTAATCTTATTGGATCTTTATTAAGTACTGATTACAATCAGACTATTTCTTTTTTTTTTTTATTATTAATATTAAATTTAAGGTATTGTCGCTTGAGAAATTACAATACTTTATGTATTTGTGGTACTGATGAGTATGGTACAGCAACTGAAACAAAAGCATTAGAAGAAAAATGTACACCACGTGAAATTTGTGATAAATATTATGATTTACTTACAAAAATTTATAAATGGTTTCAATTAGAGTTTGATTTTCTTGGGCGAACATCAACACAAAAACAAACTGAGTAAGATTTCTAATTCTCAAAAAAGAAGAAAGTATCTATTTTTTTTATCATTGATTCATCTGTTAATTTTAGAATTGTTCAAGATATTTTTTGGAAATTACATAAACGAAATCTTATTTTTAATCAAAGCGTTGAACAATTATATAGTGATACCTGCGAACAGTAAAGAATTTGTTTTAATTTTTTTATAGATCAAAGTCATTGAAGTTTTCTGGCAGATCGATATGTAGCTGATACATGTCCTGATCCAGTATGCAAATATGCTGATGCTGCGGTGATAAATGTGGAAAATTAATTAATGCTGTTGAATATATTGATGCAAAATGTCAAATTTGTCGCAGTACATCACAAATTAGACCATCGGAAGATTTATTTCTTGAATTATCAAAAGTACGATATGTCTTACTAAGATGATTTGTTTCAGATCGATTCAAATAAGAAGGCACTAGGTGTATTCGTAAAATCTCTCTATTACTTCTTGGAGCCGTGTTAAAGCTAGATTTTTTATAAAGTTTCATCGAATAGTTACAAACTACTTCAACCATGGAACTAATATGAGCATGAAAATAATCTTCTACTAGATATTGAATGGAAACAGGATGACCTCCGTCTTAGCCTTATGTCTATTCATGAAAGGCTTGTTTTAAAACAAGCTCAGAAGCACACTACTCTTTGATTATTAAAATTAACTATTAATTTCCAAGGTCTTTTCTTTAGTTATCACCCGATCTTCAATTATGATTTCAAAAATCAAGTACAACTGGTCATTGGACAAATACAGCAAGTACAATTACTGAAGCTTGGCTTAATGAAGGTCTTAAACCACGTTGTATTACAAGAGATCTTAAATGGGGAACACCAG